TGTGTGTGACTCCATCAACTGAATGTTATTTTGACTCCCTCAACTAAATGTTATTTTTGTGAATCAATCAACTAACTGTTTTTGTAGCCTGTCTCTCTAGCGTAGTTGGCTAAACCGGATTGCGCGGTGAGCAGGTGACGAACTCCTTGTGGTCCGGGTTAACTCCCGGGGGTAGGCAGAAAAGCCATATTTTCTCCCAGATTTACTGTATTCCACTGGAATCAAGGCCGAATGGTTGCGATATCCATAATACCGAGCCTAAGGGTTAATAACTCATGGCTTCTGGATACTAAAACAAACAAACAAACAAACTGTTTTTGTGTGACTCCATGAACTAAATGTCATTTTTGTGACGCCATCAACTAAATGATATTTTTGTGACTCAATAAACGAAATGTTATTTTCTGACTCTATCAACTAAATGTTATTTTTGTGACTCTATCAATGAAATGTTATTTTTGTGACTCAGTCAACTAAATGTTATTCTGACTCAGCTAAGTGTTATTTTGTGACTCCTGACTCCATCACGTAAATTTTATTTTGACTTTATCAACTAAGTGTTAAGGGCAACATAAAACATTCTAAAGACTTTAGGTTAGGGCTGCAAACTTGGACACTCCATTTGCCTGGACACAGAGGATCAGCTGGCCGAACGGTTTGAATGCTGGGCTCTTACACGAGAGACCCGGGTTCGAATCCTCGGTTAGTTTGGGGATTATTTTTTCTGTCGTGGGCAAAATAAAATCCTCACCTGCACAGTCCGTGGTGACAACACTAGCCATGCAGCCGTAAATCCCTAGGCTCAATTACCTACACTGCAATATTGGTATATAAAGGCAGCAACTGGCAGACCTTGGGAAAATGAGAGCTCTGAATGCTTTAGTTAACTAACTAGCAACCACTGTATAATGTATTTTAAAAATTATCAGCATTGTATGTTGTTTCAGAAATATTGTGTATTCTACAGAATATCCCATTTCCGGTTGCTGTCCCGTCAGTTATTGCTGACATATGCACACTGAGCGGTTGTTCAGAGGACGATCTGCACGGACTGTTCCAAAAGTGTAAGTTTTTATTTCACCATGTTCGACATAAGTAAGAACAGGTTACCCATCAAACTGTGGCTGTGTGGCACTGTAGTGGATGAACGTGTTCAACAATGTCATGATCCTCAAGTACTAGAAGTCGTCGACTGTGGCTCAAGTATTGTGAACGCGCTTCAAAATTTAACGTGCCGGGTTCACATTTGCGGGCGTTTTGGCAGCAGACCGTCGTACTCTGCTATCTACAGTAGTATCTAGAGACGACAGTTAACTAAGCAATGGCAAACTACTTTGAGTAAAATTACATAGTGGAATTACAGCCCTAAGGTTCTATAGGGTGCTTGTTTAATGGCTGTAGACTTTGAAATCAATTATTTGCGCACAGGAATTAAATTTGTTTGTCATGTTTTAAGCGCCATGTAACCGTTAGTTTAGAACATCACTGCTATATAGAGGTGTTTTAGTGTAGCTATAGTGTTGAGAGCCGCCGTGGTGTAGCTGCTAGATGCTCGCTGGCGGATAAGAAGGTCGTGGGTTCGGGTCCTGACAGTACTGTATTTATATTTTTTTAAATTACCTTGGCTCCCAGGTCGTTCCAGCCTTGAATGGGTACCAGGTCGAGACCTTAGCTCCCAGGTCGTTCCAGCCTTGAATGGGTACCAAGTCGAGACCATAGCTCCCAGGTCGTTCCAGCCTTGAATGGGTACCAAGTCGAGACCTTGGCTCCTGGGGGTGGCCCAGCCTCGAATAGGTACCAAGTCGAGAGCTTGGCTCCCAGGTCGCCCCAGCCTTGAATGGGTACCAAGTCGAGACCTTGGCTCTCAGGTCGCCCTAGCCTTGAATGGGTACCAAGTCGAGACTTTGGCTCCCAGGTCGTCCCAGCCTTGAATGGGTACCAAGTCGAGACCTTGGCTCCCAGGTCGCCCCAGCCTTGAATGGGGACCAAGTCGAGACCTTGGCTCCCAGGTCGCCCCAGCCTTGAATGGGTACCAAGTCGAGACTTTGGCTCCCAGGTCGCACCAGCATTGAATGGGGACCTATTCGAGACCTTGGCTCCCAGGTCGCCCCAGCCTTTAATGGGTACCAAGTCGAGACCTTGGCTCCCAGGTCGCACCAGCCTTGAATGGGTACCAAGTCGAGACCTCGGCTCCCAGGTCGCCCCAGTATTGAGTGGGTACCAAGTCGAGACTTTGGCTCCCAGGTCGCCCCAGCCTTGAATGGGTACCAAGTCGAGACTTTGGCTCCCAGGTCGCCCTAGCCTTGAATGGGTATCAAGTCGAGACCTTGGAAGTGCTTGGAGCTCGCGTGAAGATAACAACATCACCCATCAAATGCCGAGTTGTCTATAAAATATAGGTCTAGCCCTATATGCCAAGTAGGCCTGCAGGCGTGGAAGGCTTACTTTACTTCACTGGTAGTGTAAACCATTTACAAAAAATATGTTTGGTTGAACGTGTGCTCATTAACTGTGCCAGGTATTCGAATGTGCCTGTTCAGAAATGTATGACGTCATTTCCTGCTACTCAAGCGCCCCATTCTGATACTGTTAACATTGTAACCAATAGAATCGACTGTGAATAGAACTGTAATGTGGATAACAGTACCCAAGAGAACACACATTACAGTAGTATATGTTGTATTAACGCCACAGACGGTGGCTGCAAACATGGGAACAGTAATATGTTCTTAAAAAAAACAGTCATTATACAGTGGCACAAGAGTTTCACCGTGGAAGAGACTGAGGCCTCACGTCACAATATCATCAAAGACAGCAGTGGTTACACTGAACCCGGCCTCCGCCTTTCTTTATAGAGACGGCATATCGTTTTTAAGCCAAACAAAAACTGCCGTTCCTAAGACAATGAGGATGGGGAATTCCGGATTCTTGGGTAGTGGACCAGCCTAGCCTTCTCATACCAGGCCGGAATTTAAAACGTATATTCCAGAAGTCTATTGGGTTGATCCAGCCTAAAGTGGGATTTATGCTTTGGGAAATGAGCGACCAACAGAGGACCCAAAACAAAGAACACGTTGGCTTGGGGAGGGGGGTGTAGGGGTAGAAATGGTGATGGTGGGGAAGGGGAGGGGGGTAATAAACCCTTACATATTTTCGGAGAGGACATTTAGTGCCTAGATCTTAATCAAGTACGTAATAATAATAAAAATGGTAATGATATTAGTAATAATAATGATAATAGTAATAATAATAATGTGCTTAATGCAAATAAATACGATAACAAACTGAAAAATTATTAAACACATACATAAAAAGATCATCTATACACACGTGTCAAGGAATGACCCGCCACTACACATAGTCGTCGAGTCAGGACCTGGTATTCCCGCCCCCTCCCCCCGCTCGACACAAATTTCAAACTTGGAACCGTCCGGAAAGGTATATAGTCCCTTATATTGATCTATACCTTAATCGGGTAAAATAATAATTTCTAGACCTTCTAGTTGCTTTGACTTATCGTCATTTTCAAATTTGCAACTGTAGGTTAACGATGTCTAGGGTTTTATTTGAATATTCCTAGAAACCGGTTTACTCCTTGCTCATGTATACAAGGAACTTCTTTTCTACTGACGCCAGGCTTAAGTTAGAGCGGGCATTCTTCTGCCTGCATTCCTAGAGACCAGATGTATTCATCAACGCCTCATAAATTTATACTTTGAGAAGGCGGTCTGTAGTGTCCAGGACATTTCCTAAGCTTGGGTAAGTTAATTATAGTTTAAGAGTACCTTAAAGGATGTCTTGTTAAAAGGGTCACTGCTGTAGATTGAGTGGTATCGGTTATGGAATCGCACATAGTTCGACCGTTCTTGATCTCCAGAGAACCAGATCCGAAACCTAGACCTTCCTCTGCACAGACTAAATAGTTTGTGCCCTAAATAACCCACACCATTGGTAAAGAAATTGAACCTACAAGTGGTTATCATTTGAACTAACAACAGAAGTTGGTGCAGTACTAATGGGGACGGAGAATGTAGGTCAGTTACTTGGCAGCTAGCGCGTTGCTTTGAGTGTGTTTGGCCTGAGGAGACGGAAGAGATATGGATGCTGACTGTAAACTAGTGTCTGTATGCAGATGTGAGGGGGTGAAGAGAATGAGATACGTGTGATAGTGTCTATCTATCTTCACTATATATATCTGACTTTCCATCTCTTGCACTAAACAGTCAGATAAATGAAAGGAGACATTGTCTCCTGGTCTTGAGAGTACACTCTGAGGAATGTAAAAGAGGAGCAGAGGTGGAGTAGGCTGATGTGGGAAGGAAACTGATTGCTTATTCTGAGTCTTTCCTGTCAGATGATACCCTCTTGGTGATTACTAATTCTGAGTTCTTTCCTGACAGGATGAAACCTCTGTAAAGAGCAGGCAGATTAATCACAGTCCTACCAACATCCACCAACCAACTATCCACCAGCTAACACCAGTAAATGTACCTGGCACCATCAGGTTGTGCCATATACACCACCACCTTAACATGGCCAGAGCGTGTGAGTGAGTTCCAGGGCAAGTGAACATTTGCAGAGATTGTATCCATAATCGAGTGTACCAGGCTTCAGGAGCTTGGTTGAGCTCCGAGACAACTTTGTGACCTGACCTGTGGGAGAGACTTGTTGAGTCCATATACAGTTTCTGTGTCCTCGATGGGGAGATACTCCTCTGTGACCAGATCAACTTGAGGCAGAGCTACCAGAGTCAACTACAGTCGAATCACCAGGAGCTGAGAGGATCATCAACAATAGAACTCTGATAAGTGCCAGTTTTGTTTTAATACCATGCTCTATTCCCCACAGCTCCACAGTATTCCAAGGATGCCACTGTGTGGTTAGTCAAGACTATCTGGCTGTTTCAATGTCTGAGTCGTGGCTCTGAGTCCTGATTCTATAAACATTCTAGAACATTATTCGTCTATTTATGTACAGAAGTTGTGCTGATTACATACATTCATTTTCATGGCTGACTAAAGGGTCTTTATTTCACCTTTCTAAGTGTTTAGCATTGTTGTGTGTATGAATAATAAGTATTATATGTGTTAACATGGTTATGATAGTGAACTATCATAACCTGGGGGCTTTCTTTTTATAGCAGTGGGGGTGTCCATATAAGTGTGCCTAGGAATATTGCATCTATATACATATATATTTTGTAGTGCCAAAACTTGAGTTGCCCTACTCCGGAAATAAGTTGAGCGTATATTGGCCACTAGGCATCCCTTAGACCAATACGAGCCAAACGACTCAACATAATTATTTCTGAGTGCTATTGGTTCTTAAGGAGAAATCCTTAAATCAGGCACGTGACATGAGTGATATGTGACAACATGGTTGAGTGGGAGGGGAAGTGGGTCGCCTAGTCTGCTTTCAAATTGTTTAAGGAAAGGGAATGCCTCAACCCCAACTACCCTCCCCAACAACCACCCAAAAACGTCTTGTCTATGTGTGTGAAGGGCGCCTCTCAATCCTCAAGGAGTCTGAGTATCAGGGTCCTGTGTGGCTATGAGAGGACGGTGCGTGATGGTAGTGATTAGTGGACAGTTGACATTGTAGTAACTGCATGTTCAACAACAGCCCACAGAGACTTCGATCAGACTAGCCTGACGGATGAACTAATCACTCCTGAGTTCACGAAGTTCTCACGGACGGGGCAGTTAGTTGCGAACTGGATAAAAGCAACAGGGAAAGTGATTTTAGGGAGGTCTGGCTTAGAGATTTGTACAAGACACGTGGCGTTTGACGTTAACTGTTTCCATATTTGACTGGAGTTAGCGATAGGTATTTTTTGATAAGTCTTTGAGAAATACAATAGAAGTTTTTGAGCTGAAATGCTGTAGAAAATTTCTCAGAATTCAATAGACAAAGAAGAGAAGAAATACAGTGATTTTAAAAAATCCGAACAACAAGGAAGTCTGAATAATAGACAGCATCTTGTCTCGGAAGCTGAAATGTTTTGGTCAGATCAAGCGCTATGGGAAAAAAAAATAATAACAGAAGACATGGTACCAGGAAGGAGGGGCAGAAGCCGACCAACACAACGATGGGCATAGGATTTAAGTGACTCCTTGAATATGAAAGTACACGAGGCAGGAGAGCTGGCGAGAGACAGAGTTTCTTTAAGACAGACTGTGAAAAGAGCGACATTCTGCAAAGGATCTGCTACGTGATAATGATGATTTTGTTAGCTTGACGGTGGTATACTTTAGGTTTTAGATAATCAGTTGTGGTTCGTTATACTGGGATTCTGTGGATTAGCGAGGTGGTAAGCAAAAAAAAAAAAAAAAAGGATGTGTCGGTTTAGTAACCTCGGCCTGTCCCCTCACACATCCAGAGCCGTGCAGTAGCACATCAGGCACAGTGTAAGGTGCAGAAGCGTTGGAAAGAGCTTGGATTGGAGGCTGTGGGTTCGGACCCGGGTAATACCTGGAGTAACTGGAGGGCGAGTGTGTGAATAGCTATTGTAAAGCCCTCCAACCTGTTTGGGGTAGGGATGCGAGCCACCTCTGGGGCAAACTACCGACTGCTTATTGAACATTATTTTAAAGGCTGATTTGAATGCTCTGATAGTGTTGGTTTAGTTGTGTACAGGGATCGATGTTTCTGTCATACAGCTGCCAACAAGCGGTTTACCTTGACGGCAGTAAGCAGACCTCTGAAACTGTGATTCAAGGCTCCGGTGCGCTTCAAGGTCAGCAAGACGTTTGGCTGTCGGCCCCGTGGCCATATGTTCCAGCCCCCATATCAAACTCTAAATTAATTTGGGCTCCAAAATTGGCCCAAAAAGGTATTACTGCCAGAAAAATAAAAAATTAGGAACAAAAATTAAGTTACAACACAATCTTCTGTCTAATGGAAGTAGATGTTAAGTTAACGCCATATTTCTAACCGCCCGTGTGTCGCCGGGGCCCTCACGGGAATTAACACTGCACCCTACCAGGCATACCGTAGGAGGCAAATAAGGGTACGGTTGGGCTTGAGGTTGGCTACCTCATCCTGTAAAAACAAAAGCCACAAAAACCGACCAACCATGGACAAGTCAAAAAGAGATGCAAGTAAAACCCAGCCAACCAAGACGACGGGAGGCTCCTTAAGTAAAAGAAGTATGACACGGGGTGGAGAAAGCCAAAAGTAATCCGGATCGTCAAATACCTCCTCTCGGCTAGGGAGAGCTGGAGAATGAAATTATAAAAAATGGGGAAGACATGGGGAGAGCGCCATGTAATAGCGAAAGATAGAACGACTTGGCGTGAGTTGGTTGAGGGCCTTTGCTTCATTGGGCGATAGAAAGGTAGAAGGCAAAAAATATATTTCTAACACTTCAAGGCACGACCAAGGTGTCTTTACATACATTAAATGTGTGATTTGAAACTCCGGCGGAAAGTTCTGGTTGTTCAGACACTTGTGGACTGTGGTCTTGTCCCAGAACTTGAGTTTTACGTGCAAATCCGCTTTACAGATCTCGCCTATTTTATGCGGGCAGTTTGTTCCTCGCCTTTCAAGCAGATGCACTCCGATTTCGAAGGAAATACTTATAATTAGTCGCCTTTTACCGAGTCCTTTAGGGGGCAATGGGTCTCTTCTTGCTCCCCCCACCTCGACCCCACCCCACCCATAAATGGGACCAGGGTACCTACAGTGGCAGAGATAGTGTCTAAATATGTATATTCTTATCGCAGACGTCGAGAAGAATTCGAGACGAGACAACATTACAATCACAAAAGTCAGATGTTTAACGGAGAAGAACGTGTTGGAAGATGCTCCAGCAGTCGTCTCTTTGTGAGTACCCTACCAGGTGACATGTGGTTGTAATGACTGCGTTTTTAATGTGGTTGTGTTTAAATAAGGATGAATCTATTGCGTGTCCATCAACTACGTAAATAACTGTCATTACTGCTTGTATTTACCACTTTTGCAGTATAGGGGCAAGAGGTTGAGTCTGAGGATATAGGGATGCATAGCCAGTGCCGTAGACATGGACTGTGCAGGTAAGGATTTTAATCCCCCCCCCCCACCCCCTCAACAGAAAAAAACCTTATGGAAGATTCGAACCCGGGTCTCCTGCTTCAAATCCCAATGTTCTAACTGTTTTGGCCATCCACTCCTCTTAGGAGGTAATTAAGAAAATAATAAAGTAAATGACCTCTTTCGAGCCAGTAGCGAATCGGAATATGAAGACCGACGCACATTTGTATAGACAAGTCGGCTGTGCCCAGGGAACCGTGGATGCGGAGAGGGGCCCAAACACTTGTTCAAGGAGGCACTTTCACTGGTGGTCGGTAAAGTCCAGTTGTAGCGGCGCTTTGTTACAAAACTGGATACATTTTCTTGCTTGGTCTGTTGTTTTATTTGCGCTTTGGATCCGAAATCTGTCCAGTGGAGATTTCGTATTCTTCTAAGACATCTGTTCTCAAAAACTGTCTTGTTTTTTAACCTAATTTTTCCAACTCTCGCTTTTGTGTTAGCACTGGAATCACATAAGAGTTGATGATCTTAAGTTCTGTGTGTTTGCTGAATGTCTTAGACTTCCATTTAAGATGAAATGACGATATTTAAAACAAGATATATTGTTAATGACAATCATCAGAGACTTCTATCGAGCTTGGCACTATCATCATTTGCCTACCACGGTTCTTGACGGCAACAGTGGAAGGCGGTGATCTGGATAATGAACGATATGAACAGTTTTAACATGTGTCGCCTTGTCCCGTTCTGAACATGGAACATGCCATTCAGACTTGAATGGCATATTTGAAATATGCTATCCTGTCTTTTACTTGATTGAAATATATTATTCTGTTTCTTGTGTACAATATGTTGTTCTGTCATTCAGTCGGGTTCTTAATATGTCGTTTTGTCCTTTTTTTATTTTGAAATCAGTACCTCTGCTTTGTTCTTGTTTTAAATATGGCAAGCTATCTTTACATCGCAAATTTGTCATACTGCCTTTAAAAAAAAAAAAAATGCGTTTTCAGATATTTAATTTCTGAGCTACATACAATTGTGTTTGTTGTCGTTGCTACAGGTGTGTCATCTTCCTGTTGATTCTACTGGCACTAGCTGGGACTGTCTTTGAAGTCATCCTCAGAGCTAGGAGACGTGGTGTGCGGTCTAGCATGGACATACTCCTAGGGTTAAACTCCGCTAGAAATCCGAATCTGACAGGATGTGGCGATCTCAATATGTCGACACTGTCTTCGATCGGCAGCAGAGTCTTGGACACTCATGTCAGCAACAGGGGCGCCAATCCTGGGCAGGAGGGAATTCCTGAAGCAAAGGATGAGTGCTCTAGCCTTGACACTGCAGCAACATGTTCTGACATGGAAGGTTCAGTGCACTCATCATCTGATATTCGTCCTGGCGTCACTAACGACCAGGATGAGAGTAACATTTCATTTTACAGCACGAAAAGTGTTACCCATTTTGACCCAGTAGTAGCTGATGAACAAGGTGTCAACAATGCAATGACATGTTCTGGTATGGAAGCTGTTTCGTGTTCTGACCTGGAAGCTGTATCGTGTTCTGACGTGGGAGCTTTATCGTGTTTTGGTATGGAAGCTGTTACGTGTTCTGACGTGGATGCTTTATCGGACTCGTCATCTAATACTGGCGTGTGCGTCCCTGATGAGCAGGATGGGAGTAACGTTTCATTTTACAGCACACAGAGTGTGACACGTGATGACCTGGCCATAGCTGATGAACAAAGTGTGAACAATGCAATACCGTGTTCTGACGTGGAAGCTGTATCCTGTTCTGACGTGGAAGCTGTATCCTGTTCTGACGTGGAAGCTGTATCGTGTTCTGAAGTGGAAGCTGTATCGTGTTCTAGCAGGGAAGCTCTGTCGGATTCCTTATCAGATGATCATTCTAGCGTCATTGAAAAACTTGATAGGATTCATATTTCATTTCCAGAGACACAGGTCGCTGACGGCACGAAGAGTGTGATATGTGATGACTCAGTAATTACTGATGAACAAAGTGTAAACAACGCTATAACATGTTCTGACACGGATGCTTCTCAGGACTTGTCATCTGATGTTAATGCTGGCATCAACGAAGAGCAGGATGGGAGTGACAATTCAGCTTCCCAAACACAGGACGCTGCCAGCACGAATGGTGGGACTCAGGACGACTCGGTAGTAGCTGATGAACACAGTGTAAACAATGCAGTGACGTGTTCTGACATGGAAGCTTCATCAGACTTGTCATCTGATGATCGTGCTGGTGTCACTGACGACCGAGGTGAGAGTAACATTTCAGTTTCAGAAACACGGGACACTGTAAGCACGAAGAGTCTGACACAAAATAATGACTCGGTAACAGCCGATCAGCAGAGTGTAATCAGCGCAGTAACAGGTTCTGACGTGCAGGCTGTATCGTATTCTGACGTGGAGGCTGTATCGTGTTCTAATGTGGAGGCTGTATCGTGTTCTGACATGCAAACTTTACCTGGCTCATCATCTGATGTTTGTGCTGGCCTCACTGACGAGCAGAATGGGAGTAACATTTCATTTTCAGAAACACAGGACGCTGACAGCGCGAAGAGTGTGACACAAAATAATTCGGAAATAGCTGATGAACAAAGTATTAACAAAGCATCTGGTTCCAGCAGCATGACCACTAGAAGTGGGGAAATGGGTGGAATACATAAAACAACAAATAAGTTACCAAGAGCTCCAGTTTCGACCAATTCTGCCAAGAAACATACAGACGGATCATTGAAAACATCGGCCAAGTCTGTATTTTACAACACTAGTACATTCAGGAAGAAAAGTTTACCCCGGATGAAGAAGAGGCATCTACAAACAAAGTTATCTGCTGCTGTTACACAGAAGACATCAGTAAACTTAGGTATGAATGACAATGCAGTAAAACATTGTAAACACGAATTTCAAGGCACTGAAAATCCAGTCCGTGGTAGATGTTGGCTAATTCGAGACTAGAAACGTTAACACATCCCTGCCAGGTACCTCAATTTTAATTCACACCAAACAAACCTGGTGGCTATATTTAGGATACTTATATTTAGCACGGGTTAGGACGAGGGTTAGCGTTAGGGTTTTGGGTTACGGTTTAGGGTTAGGGTTAGCAAAACACGCGTTATATAAAGAAGACAGAAATAAACCGCAAAAGAAAACACCTTGATGTCTCACGATGTGTGTGGACTATCTCGCTAACGCCTGGAGTTCCTTTGTTTGGGGTGTTTTAAAATGAAATACCCCCTACCGAGACCAAAAATGTGTTCATGTTAACTATGTGTTCCCCTGAAGTGACTTTGTGTTGACATGGTGTTACTGAATATTTTTGTCTCTTTGCAAGTGTGTATAATGTGATACCATTATTACGTACGCCTTTGTAGGTAATACAGAGAGTCATTGTTGAGGAAATCTTGATAAACAAAGCATGATTAATATATGAATGGGCATTGGCTCGACTGGTACATTTTCGTCCTTTCAAACGATAGTGCTATTTTATGCTTTGAAAAGGCACGGGACTCACAGCCCATGGCGATGGTGATTGTGACTAGGAAAACCCGCCCGTGTCAAGAAAAATCTTCCACAATTATGGCATGGGATTTCGGGACTATTGTTGTCAACATTTATGTTTAGTGTGTTTCTTCTCAAATGCTCAGTTCTCATTCTTTGTGCAATCATTTCTAACCTTCATTGTCATTTCCTTTCTGATGTGACCCCTACACACAACACGGTCCATGTCATTTTGTTTCCCCGAGCCCACCAGGTGGCAGCTGAAAAGCTGTATCATTCATGTCCCGTCGAAGCAGCAGGTAGACAAGTTAGAGGTGTTCTTTAACAAATTTGTGGCAAAAGGCAATTAACTTAGAATTTATCCAAATCGGGTGTTTTGCACTGCATGGCGCAGATATAACAGCCTAGCCTCAAACTACAACACAGCATGATAACCGATGTTTCAATGATGAACTCAGATGAAGAAAAAAAATTCAGCCACTTAAACGAATGTTTACCCATATTAGCAGATAGCAATCCACATTGCTTTTTTTTTTTTCGTTTTTTCTCTGTATTCTATTTGGAAAGATCAGTTGAAAAATGGGTAGAGGCAAAGAGAGAAGATGCTAGATGGGCTGAAACGATGGCATGGAGGGATATCATCAAGAGAGCTGTTCCAGGCAACTAGGGATCGTAATCTGTGGAGATGCACGAGCGCCTACGCCAGTTGGCAGGACACATGATGATAATGATTTGGCCTAGTCGGTCCTCTACATCACCAGCACAGGATCTGGACCACCCGAATGTTCAGCCAGGGCACCCCGCCTAAAGGCAACTGCCCAGCTTGCTGGATTTGTTCTCTTAGTTTGTTCCTAGTTTTAATTGATCCGACCTTTCGACCTTAGCCCCGTCAAAAGATAAGAAAAACTGGAGTATGTAATGGCAACAGAAATGTTCATGGCCAGAGGGGATGAGGAAAATATCCGAGAAGATCTTAGTGTGTCGATATGTATGGAGGGACATCAGATACAAGACTTTGGTCAGATATGATAAGCAAAGTTGCATTTCTTGGATTAACTAATTGGCAGTACACGAGACAGAAGGCCGGGGACGGCAAGAACCAACACCAGACGACATCATTATGAGAGTGAGAAGTCACCCACAATATTTGGTTGAAAGAGACGTATATTAATTGACGGTTAAACTCAAAATATTGGTGGCATGTCCCGTTTTCAGCTTGAAATATTTGTGGCATGTCCTGTTTTCAGCTTTACACATTTGTGACATGTTACGTTTTAAGCTCAAAATATTGGTGGCATGTCCCGTTTTCAGCTCAAAATATTGGTGGAATGTCCCGTTTTCAGCTCAAAATATTAGTGACATGTCTCGTTTTTGGCTTGAAATATTTGTGGCATGTCCCGTTTTCAGCTCAAAATATTGATGGCATGTCCCGTTTTCAGCTTGAAATATTTGTGGCATGTCCCGTTTTCAGCTTAAAATATTGGTGGCATGTCTTGTTTTCTGCTTAGAATTTAGTCGCATGTCCCGTTTTCAGCTTAGAATATTATTGACGTGTCCAGTTTTCAGCTCAAAATATTGGTAACATTTCCCGTTTTCAGTTCAAAATATTGATTGCATGTCCCGTTTTCAGTTCAAAATATGACATTTCTCGTTTTTAGCTCATTATATTATCATCGCTAAAGTCTATGACAGTCTTAGAAGTTAACTGCCTTAGATTATTGCTTTTATAAAATGTATATTTCTGTTTCAGTGACCCTGTTACAGAGACTTCTCGTGGCGTGTTCTATTCGCCGAAACACAACTAACGTGTTTGGGAAAGGTCACGAGGACATGTTGTTTTGTCTAAACGGTATCAGAGTCCTGAGCAACAGTTGGATTGTTCTTGGCTCCTACTTCATGACGATCTTCTCAAATCCTGCCGTTGTTGGTAGGTTGCCAGTTTTACACTTGGGTTGATCATATAGTATAGTGGTACGCCGTCGTGCAACTTTTAGATTTGTAGAATTGTAGCTGATAGGTATTCCGTGAATCTGTTGGTACTTCTCTGTCCTTCCCAAAGATAGTATTCCGTTGTGCTATGAGGAATGGGAATCACAGCTTCATGGCGATACCAATCAAAGCCAGGGATGAAGTACCATAACACAAAGATGGGACAGTACTGTGGATGCGATGTGTTGTCCATGAAGCATGATCTCCCACTTGATCTGCCTTGTTTACTAAAGAGGAAAGGCAAAAACCAATACACAAAAAAAAAAAACATGCTGTAGAAGCTGCTGGATCAGAAGAGCAGTGCTTTGTCTGTCCATCTGTTGGAACTTCCGGAGTAGACTAGCTGCCAGTCAAGGCAAGGGCCTCATCTATCCTGCCATTACATTGTGTTTTCAGATTGCATAACGTCATCCTAAGATACGACTAGACAGTAGGCTCTCAAGCGCACTCCCCCGTCTGAGGACATAGAAAACTAAAACATTCAAGTAGTAGCCATGTGGGATAAAACACGGTGCTATGAAGTCGATCCTCTGCCTTTTACCTTTACCTTTGAACTTTGTAAAAGCAACCAATTGGTCCCTAACTTATGTTACTAGGCAGCATGTCCTCAACACCCCCCCCCCTCCCCCATCCCCACCCCCTCTTTCCGCCGCCCATCCCCTTTCACACCTACTGCCATACATATTTTTATTTTATTTTTTAGCTTTTTAGGCCAAAAGGGAGAGGCTAAAGGCACATAATCCTAATTCGGAGCGCAATGATACAACTGTACTGGTGGTTAATAATACATGAATATATTTCACACAAGATGAAATGTCGGGACCCGCTGTGGTGTAGCGGCTAGACTCTCCGTTTCGGGTTCTGAAGGAGCCTGACATTTTCAGAAATGACATTGACTGCGAGGTCGACCCAGCTCTGAGAGATATAAAGTTAGGGAAAGTAAAGGCTGTCGGCATGATGTTGACCCCAACACCCGTCGAGTACCATTTGGTCTATAAAATATAGGTCTGGTACTATATTTCCCCATACGCCCGAAGGCTTGGAAACACCTTTACTTGACTTTAAAATGAAATTCATAGACAAATACTTTTAAAGATAATGTGTATATACGGGTAAATTGGTTCTGTCTAGAGACACCTTACAAATTTAGGCACAAGTAACGTTGATCTCTCCATGCTCCGCCCATATACACACACGGCCACTTCTGATTGGTAGTTACTCAACCTGTCACCTTGCCACAAAGATACAGGGATGTTCGGTGATGCCGTTGACATCACATGTTGTATATTTCAGCACGTCAGCGCCTTTAACGCTCCAAGAACATGGAGCAACTGGCTCTTACACAATCCCCATAGAGGGTGCTGCAACCTATGTCAGAGGCATTTTTTTTTCTCGGAATGAAAACGTTAATGCAGGACACCACAGAAAGCAAACAATAAAGCGAGCCACACCTGTATGTTTCAGAAAAGTCGACCAGCCCAACATACTTGTGAATGAAAATCGACCTCCTTTCTTTGCAGAGATTTGCGTAAACGTAACCAAAAATTATTAGGTAAAAAAAAATAGGGGTGGGGGGGGGGGGGGGGCAGGGGGGAGTATATCTGTCTCAGCCACCCACTAATCTTGATAAAATGGGGAAAGGGAGTTGGGTTGCGATATAGGTATTAAGTCTTCTTCTTCTTCGCGTTCCCCAGCTGTAAACTCTGGCGGAAGGTTCTGGTTGCTCGTCCACTACTGAACTGCTGTCCTGCTCTAGAACCTGAGTGTTGCGTGTGCATCAGTTTTAAAGATCTCATTCTCTTGAATACAGACTGTTGGTTCCTTGCCTCTCCGGCAGATGCACTCCGACTTCGAAGGAAGCTCCTCAATTAGTCGACTCTTACGACATGCTTTTGGGGAGGCGGTGGGTATATTCTTGTTTTCCCACAATGGGGCCCCGAAACCCACACGGAGGAGGTATTAAGTGACCTGGGCTCCCATGCCGCGATGCTTGGGTCCCCTATTTCTTCATTTTCCCCCTTTCACTTTAAGCAACCTCTTTCTCCAGAGAATCACGTGACAATCTCCAAGTTTGGACAATCCTTCTGGGCGCAATTTCTCATCAACACCGGCCTGGCTGCAGACACGTTTTTTATTATGAGGTAACTTCCATGATATGTTATTTCTTCTGTCTGTAATTATTAGGTAAAGGAAAGTAAAGCTCCCTGTACACGCCACTTGCGCATCGGAGGCTAGGCCTAAATTTTTTAGACCAATGATGGATGACATGATCAACACAACGCCGAGCGCCCTTACTTCACTGGACGTTATCTGGTATCCATTTAAGGCGGGTCACCCTGGGAGCCAAAGTCATGTTTGGATTTTAAAAATCCGGCTCCATGGGGATTTGAACCCTTCCAATCCGCAGGCAAGCGTCTAGCCGCTACACCACGGCGAACCCTTGTAAGTAAAGTAAAATAAGTGGTGCATAAGGCACATGGTGTGGGACACATTTTATACTTGGTGAAAAATCTGATGAACATCGCGCCGACCACCTTTACTTTCCATGCAAGTTCCTGGTACCAATTTAAGGCTAAATAAATTTGAGATTCAAGTCATTTATTTGTGGATTCGAACTCAAGACATTAAGACCAAAAGGAACGCGTATCTGTAATCAATACCATTGTATTATTCTCTGGGTTATGCGGGTGTATTGAAAATGACCCATTGCCTCCCCAAAAGCATGTCGTAAGAGTCAACTAATTGGGGAGCTTCCTTTGAAGTCGGAGTGCATCTGCCGGAGAGGCAAGGAACCAACAGTCTGTATTCAAGAGAATGAGATCTGTAAAACTGATGCACACGCAACACTCAGGTTCTGGAGCAGGACTGCAGTTCAGTAGTGGACGAGCAACCAGAACCTTCCGCCAGATTTTACAGCTGGTGAACGCGAAGAAGAAGAAGAAGAAGAAGAATAGACATAAAGACTGGCTGGTGCCACTCATTGGATGGTGGCTTGATGTTAGAGCAAGTAAACAATGCGGGGGCGCTATTAGATCACTACGGTGTGAAGCGAATAGTGCACCAGTAAACGATCAGGGGATCTGACCGACACTCTGCACTCAAAAGACAAGCAACATGGACTGATAATCAAACCGCTACTAGTACAATCAGCGTAGGAATACTTCACTGGCTGTTGAAGATGAGGACGGAGCGCGTATGGGAATGTCCCAAGTGCTACGATCTCAGGATTGACTAGACTCAACTGAAATAATAGCAGAGCCACAAGAAATCCCCAAATGGTTAATAAATCAACGGGCAGTATCCAGCAGTTTATATTTCACCTGGATATTATAACCTGAGCCAGGGTAGGTACGGGTCAGACGATCACATGTCGGCTTGAAGGCTTGGGTTCGAATCCACAGTGAAGCGGATTTTTTTTCAAACTTGACTTTTGCTCCCAGGCCAACCTAACCAAAAATGTCTGCCAGGTAATGACTTGGGAAGTAAAGGTGGTTGGCGTGATGTTGACCACATTACCAACTGAGCTCCAGTTTGTCGATTCAATAATGTCTAGCACCATATGCACATACATTAACAAGGGTAGAACTTTTGAGGCTGTAGAAAAATTATTATAATAAACATACAGACAGTCTCTTGATTAGCACTCATAGACAGAAGTAGAAAGATGGAAGAACACACTTTGCAACTTAAAAATGTAAAGCTATAGTTATCCGCCGGAAATGGAACCTGTCACTTCCAATGACAAATGCGCCTCGCTGTAGAAACAAATGTACCAAGAAAGCATACGGCTGGTGCGCCAGTCACCTAGAAATGGTCCTTTATTTACTTCGACACCGCAATGTACATAACGATCTAGAGGATACTTCGACACCGCAAGGCACTTGACGATCAAAAAATACTTTGACACCGCAAGATACATGACAATCAAGATGATAAATCAATACCGCAAGGTACAGGACAATCAAGATAATACATCAGTA